GACCACATAAATATCGCTAGCTTTGTGTGAAAAGTTGCTAAGTCTACATTTTATGAAACCTCATATTCTGATATAGGAAGCAAGAGCAACTAAGGATTAAGGTACTTGTTTTATTTATTCTCGTTTATATTCAAGACAAATTTTCTAAGTCCAAAGAGGCCTCGAATATCCGATATCGTATACGGTCAAAAATTTGGGTTTAATTTTTAAGCCGCGCTGGGACTACTGCCTTTTTTAATCTTATATAGTATACTTTTTAAACCAGTCAATATTTAGTTTTAAGCAATTTTTAATATATTCTGGTTTAAACTTTAGTCCAGGCAGCCGCGAAAATGGTGGATTAAAATTAAAACCAAAAAGTTCGTGGTTTATAAATCAAATTAAAATGTTTTAATTTTAGTTTCTAGTTTGAATTTAATAAAAAAAGTACTCAACAAAATAATCAGGGATTAACTTTCTTAATGGAAATATAGTCGGCATAATTTTTTAAGGTAATTTCCAAAATATCAGAAAATTTTTTGGCGCAGAATCCACCAGGCTAAAAAATGGGAAAAAGAATGGTTTTCTTAGAGCATTTTCGGCCTTCTTCACAATAAAGCAGTTTCCTATACTCTTCATTATCCATGTGTTTTCGGCATACATATATGTAATACTTCTATATTGATAGTAACGTATTTTCACAATGTGTTTTTATTCCGCAATCAAAGGGAGACAGCCTATTAAATAAATGTTTGCTTGTGTTAGTATAAATGTATATTTGTGAACTATTACAAAGAAACCACTGTCAAGTCACTTCAGGAGCGGTTTAAACTACAAATATTAAAAAAATAGAACAATAAAATAACCAAAAATTTTTCCCTGAATGTGATTGGGGCAAGCTTTGTGGTAACCGGCGGATTTGAATAAGCAGCAAGCGATGTATAAGTTACACTTGAGGCGATCACCGTAACCACCCTTAAGAGATAGGATGAAAGGATCCATGCCTTCCTTTCCAGCACCTTAGCCAGCATGTAGCGTTTGCTCGTTTTCCCTAATACGGCTCATTTTTAAGTAAATAGTATAACATACTGACGCGTGCAATACGATTTCTTTTTCCTTACATTTTTGTTCAAAAGTTCCACACAATTTTTTTTGCTTTAATTAAAATTAAATTTTTTAAATTATCGACGGTTACTGCACCGCTCCTGATTTTTTATTCCTTTCAAACATCATTCTGGGTACATTGGTTGGTTGGTTTTCTCGTTCATTCGATCATTATATATCTGCACTCTAATGTTGGCGGATGTACTTTCAACGTACTGCCAATATAGAAGTATAACATATATGGTTTTCGGTGTAAAACTATTTGCAACATTAGTCTTTTTACTAATTAAATTTTCAGGTAAAATTAATTTTTTATTCAGTTAGAGATAGGGCTGATTTAAAAGCAACATTGTAAGCTATTCAACGTGCTATTGATCCATAGTTAAAATTTATATTCTGGGTGAATTCCAAAACGTCAAAATACAAAGCATCAGTCTCTTTTATTTCTAGACCTCAGTAGATTTTAATGCCAAATGTGCGCAACCACGGTTAGATGCTAGTTTTCTACTAGGTTGCGCAAATTAGACTTTTTCTTCTAGTGTGGTTTAGAAATAAAAGAGACTGTTGCTTTGTATTTTGACGTTTTGGAACACACCCTCTTCCTAACTCAAATAGGCTCAGGAAATAAAAATTACGCAGAAAAAAAAAGCGCGAGAATTATATTATTTCAAAAAGGAACGATGCCAAAAGAAGCAAAATAAGAAGCTAAAAGAAGAAGAAGATTGTCTGATTAAATAGTAAAAATCTATTAGAATTATTTCAAGTATTTTTCTAGTACTATTTTTATCCAACAAAATTCACTCTCGAATGGCGCTATACGATTTTTCCCTCAAGAGTTACGGCCACTTAAACTGCCGTGTCCTCGAATCTAACATCGCCAAACCAACTACATATATGTATGCTTTCTAACTCATTATGCCATCTTCCAATGGCCTTAATTTCTGAAGGAAAAATCGTAAAGCTCCACTCGAAGACGCATTTTGAAGGGTAAGAATAGTTATAAATGGCATATAGCAAGCAAAAGTGACCGCTAAAGCCGTTTTTCATGTACGTAACCCTAATTTATTTTTCATGCAAATATAGGTTCGAGCATTTTTTTTGAAGTGTGAAGTAAAGTGTTTTGTGATATAATATTACTTTTCATTTTGTGAATTTGGTGCAAGGTCTAATAAAACAATTGCATGTACTATTTAAGTTATACCTTGGGTTTATTAATGCAATATATAGATACATATAAATACTTACATATTTCTTGCTTACAATGTTGGAAAAATTAGGGATGTAATTAAGTAACTTAACAACTTATTCAAAATTTTTATTGTAATAATTTAAATTGCAAATTCAATTTTGCGCTTTCCTTTTGGGAATCTTTCTATTATCCTTTCAGTGTCAATTTCAATATCTAAGTGTACTTGTAAGAGTGCTAGACCTATCAGTCTTTCTTCATTGATGGTACTACGCAACCTTGTTTTTAACCGGCGAAGGGTTGAAAAACTTCTTTCGGAAGCAGGATGTCCAGATTGTTTTTAAAAAAAGCGCAATTTCTGAAAAAAATCGCCAATTTTTTCTTCATAAAATTCATGAAATCGATTTAACAAATCATTTATTTTAAAAATGAGATCTTGTTGTAATATAGTTTTTAAAACCAAAAACGAATATAATAGCTTCAGAGGGTATTAATAAATAACACAAATCACTTATGTAATAGTGATGTACAAACAATTTTCTCTAAAATTACGCATACTTTTTAAAAATATGTGTTTCAACACATTTTGCAATATGAAGGCTACTTACTTATATTTTCAAACATTTTATTGCCTGTTGCGGTTATCACTCCGTAAGCAATTATCCAAAATTCTTCAGAGCTTTTTTAAAAGTATTTAATTGACTAGGAAATCGTTTCAAAAGTTCTTCGATTTGGGTGATTAAAAATGTTTGACAAGCTGCTTAAGTCAAGTTTATCACGCCGTTCATTAGCTTCTTCTGTAAAATTATCGTGGAAAACTGAGTTTTGTATATTTTTATAATTGGAAAAAAATTATTTGAAGGGAAAAACCGCCAAAAATCGTCAATGGTGATTTCCTAAATTTTTACACGCAAATATCTAGCGTGAAATTGCTAAATCGGGACACTCTGTTTGGACTAGCTGGAAGTGTGACCAGAATGCGGAGAAGTTCGTTAATCAATGGAAAAGCATATTCGTCGCATTTACCAAGAACTTCTGCTGCTGATTTTGGGAAAGGCTTTTCGCTTTCCTTATTTGTCCATCGTTCCAACCACACTTTATACTCTCCTTCCAAATTGATACCGTCTTTTTCTAAGAAAAGTTCGTATCGTTTTCCAAGCGAGTTTACGCGTTCGATAGCATTATTTTTTTCGTCAGACATATTATACACCCCAATTTTAGATGGAAGTAATAAGTTCAAATCAAAAATGTTTACTCACACTTTTGGCAATCTTTCTCGGAGATCGAGTAAAATTATATGGTAACTTTTGAAAATATATCAGAAAAATGTGTGTCAGTATTTTCTCTATAGTTTCGAATAATATTCAGTGCCATTGACTGCTTCGCTAGCACGATTCAAGTCAAGCGAGGGCGCTTGGAGAAGTAAACTTTTAATTTTTTAATTTAACTTTTTAATTTTTATTGTATTTTTCAAGTCATTAACATTTTTATGCGCATACAAATGTCTGGTTACACAGTTGAAAGTGAAATTTCCTACATACGTGCACACGGAAATAGACAAAAAGTAGTATCAGAAAGTTCGATTTGACATACATACATACATTTATATAGCCCAGTTCTGAATACTCCTAGGGAGTTTGTTCTCCGGAAATTTATTTCTTCCGAGAAAGAAATCCTCCAATAATTAACACTCAGGAAGTAAGTAGCATTTTCCCCGAAAATTTTGAAGGAGAAAATTCAAACTTCGCAAGATCTGTTTGATACTTTTTTGACAGCTCAACTCCGCCATTGAATATAAAAAATCCGCAGAGAAATTTTATTCATGATAGGAGGAAAGGCAAAAGAGAGAAAGCTTCCAGGGCGTTCCTGTTCAGAATCGGCCTGATAGTATCAATATACCCATTGTTTTAATTTTTCACGTTGACGAAGAGTTTTACGCGATTTCTTATTCTATGAATAATCTTGTGCAAGCCTAAAAAATGGTTACGGTTGAAGATTAAAATAAAAAACCTTAAATATTTTTTTTTCAAATTTCTCGTTTTGGGTAATACATATATTTTATCCGAAATTTTGCTTTTTCGAGTTCTGGGGTGCACTAGGTTTGGAACTGAGATTTACATGGGTTTTGCTAAAAAACTAACTATATTTTTATAAAATAATAACCAAAATTAAATAACTAAATAATTATATTTTAAAACTTCTCAAAATGTGGTGCGGCTATATTTTGTTCTACCACTGCGCATCACTCCATGTTCTTGTTAATAAGGCATGACTTTCTAAATCTACACACAGTGAGTGCCACTCTTGGGCATTTCCATACATATGTACATACATATCCACAGTGTGCCTGAATCAACCGTAAATGAAATTTGGGTTGGTTTTAACTGATTCTGTTAGACAATGAAATTACAAACTGTTTGAATCCAAAATCAAGAAAAATCGAACGGGCCCTTTTCGAAAAATGCCCAATTTTTCTTACTTTTAGTTAAATTTTTTAGTATAAAAGTTTTACATATTAATTTATATTATTAGTTTATTACCATTTTACTTATCTAAGATGAATTAAAATCAGAGTTGGGCACGCTGCATTTCAAATTTCACTACCACTATATGGTTAGTGATAGTGCATTT